ACCCAACCACTCCTCTTACAGTTTGTCGACTCGTGTATTTTACCTACGCTTCTTTACTGTTCACTCTAATTTTTTCCTGAATTGCTTAAAAAGACTATGTCATACTTCGTCGAACTCTGAAGACTGTCAGTAGGAAGAGTGGCATCCCATTGGGCCATATCGTTGACATTGTCAATGATACGCACTTGATGTCATGCAACAAATTCGCCAAAGGAATTTTATCAGACTGTGAGCACCCACTCTACCCGCAACTCCAACCTTGTGTCTCCTCGGGTAAAACAAGAAGTCTTTTCAAAAGACTTTATGCACGTACCTCCAAGTATAATAATTCCACTATACCATATTTCGCTGCACGTACTTTATGTGATGAAAACAGTGTTAGGCATGAAATAACTAACCTTCTTTGCACTACTAAATAAACCACTTCTTCCACCCTTACAATACCAAACTTTATTGTTATAGTATTTCTTATATTTATAATCCTCTCAATTTTTGGTTTTTATTTGTTTATTTTTTCATAAGTGTGAACATCATTTAAGCTGTGTGAATAACTGTTAATTTTGCCTTTCCCCTCACCATACAATATCAACAAAATATTAGATTCAATAATCTATAACATGCTAAAATTTTCAAATTGAATCGACAATACTGTTTGAAACAAACTTACTGTTATTATTATTATTATATTTAGTATTCTCAATTCGTACTTCGGATATATTTGACTTTATATAGTAAATGTGGACAAATTCCTCTCGGGTTAATTTTGTTTTAATTTTTAATTTTATTTATATTTTGAGTAAATCAGATGCAAAATTGTGACAAATGCTGAGAATTCCATTCTGTATTAACAGCATTGTTTTTGGAATAAAGTAGACTATTATTATTAAGAATAGTAATACGGAAGAACAATATAGTTTCATTGAATCTTATAAGTCAGAAGGAGTGGATGCATCTGTGGCATTACTTAGGACTATTTGAGCCATATCACCGATTGTATCCAGCCTTTATTGGTTTTTACCGTCCCAAGGACGCAAACCAGTCAGTCAGTTAGGACGTCTGCACCTCCCTACGTGGCTGGCTGGCTGGCTGACTGACTGACTGGCCAGCTTAAACTGACTGTGATGGATTCCACTGACTGATGAAGCCATGTTTTCGTTTGACCACTATGTGCTTGCTGTTTTCCAACCTCATCCATCCTATGTCAGCTAACATCGTCAGTCGAGCAAGATGATGAGTGAGAAGTCATGTGTAACACATCTCCTAACCATCTCACTCGATTCACCTTCACAACCTCATCGATTGATTTCGCCTCCTCAACTAGCACTCGATCGAAACCTAACCTCAATATTGCTCACTCTGTTATCCTACCATCCAACATGGGAGATAAAGTGCAGACAACTATGATTAAAGACAGTTAGCCAGCCTTTTCATGTCTTCCACTTCGAATGACTATGTCTTACTAATAGCCATAAAGGAGGACGGTGCGGACTGTTGAGTAGTACACACGCCCTTTGGTCGGATATCACGTCTACTAAGCCAGGGATGGTGTAAACTGGCTTATGCCGAACGAGTCATCTGTATCCGTGTTGTGAATTTGCCAGTGATCAAGTTGGTGGGGTTATCTAATGCAACTTCCCAAATAAGTGAAGTGGTCAACACTCTCAGTCACCACTTCACTCGGTATTTCTAAGCTAGGAGTCAATGTAGTTTAGTCCAATCCTGTAGAATCATCTTACACTTGACAGGAGCGAATCACATGCCAAACATACGCAGATTCCAGCTCAAGGTGTTCAGAAGACTCTGTATTTTGTCAGCATCTTCACCTAGAAGAACATATCATCTGCATATTCTAAGTCAACGAGATTATTCCCTGGTAATAAGTCAATCTCCGAGTCTCTGAAGTGAGTTATGGTTAATGCCATTAGCACATCTATCGTGAAAATGAATAGAAATGGGGACAGTGGGCGTCCCTGACAGACACCACTAGTTTTCACCAGTTCAGATGACAACTGGCCGTAAGCTCTTACTTGGCTGCATGAGTACTAACCGCCAAAAAATTACCACAGTGTAATTTAAAAGCTATAATAATTTCAACTAAATGCAAATAAAAAAATTAATTAATAACATACTCGAACCCTACACCCTCACAGAGTCTCCGCAGCAAGAAAACCACCACTTATTGGGTGTGCAAGTACACCCAGGTGATAGGACCTAAATAAGATGAGACGTGAATCATGAACTGAGTTTCAACACACAGCTTTGCTCAGAAATACACCAGTTCAAGTTGGCACACTCCATAGAGCACACAAAGGAAGACAAAAAAGAGATTCAACAAAACAAGCAAATAAGCAAAAATGTAAGGCAGAAAGAATGGTAACATGAAAGAACATGAGGGTTTAACGGATGTCGAGGAGCGCAAAAAGTGAATGCATCTTCACCATTACTGAGAGACATTTTGAACCAATTCATCATTAGGCTGGAACCATTGGTTCTTAGAATCCTGAGGACCGCAATCAGCTATGTGGTTGGCTGGAACCGCCTGTTAAATACATCATGGATTGATGGTAGGTTTTTATTTGACCGCCCCCTAACTCTTTTCCGACCTAATCATCCACTTATCCACTGAGTATTTTACTTTTTTATTGTTCTAGCGTAGATGTGATACGCAACTATCGATCAAGGGACCATTGAAAGTGGCAGATGTGAAAAATTGTCTTTGATCAAGTTGTCTGCGTTCTATCACGCGTGTTGGGTGGTATAATATGATGAGTAATACTGACGTTAGGCGTCGAGTGTTAGGTGAGGGGATAAAATCAACTGATGAGCTTTTAAAGCCACATTGATTGAGATGGCTACGATATAGGTTGCATATGCCAAGCCATCGCCTTCCTCGTCAACACAGGATTAAACTGAAAGCTAGGTTTGGTCAAACCAAAACCAGGCATTAGTTCATGAGATTCCTGACAGATGGTTTGAGCCAACCACATAGAGAGGTGTAGACTGCCCAGTTAGGGTCCGCGAGACGCCAACAACCAACAGCTTTGAGACTATTGATGATATGGCTCGAAATCGTTCACAATAGCGAAGATGCATTTACCCCATTTTCCCACGTTATTATTCTGTCGCTCTCTCCCTTCTATCTCCCGTTTGTTTTCCTTTGTGAGCTATATGGAATGTGACAACTTGAAATGATTCAGTAAACTTTTTGTCAATATTCAACATAGGATGATATCGAATTTAAGACGAGTTGTTACAATCTATTAAAAAAAACTTTTACTGCTACAGTAGACATTTTAATTGAAATACATCGCCCACAGATTTCAATACATCTGAAAAGTCACGATGTAATGACACCATACTAAGATTACTTATTTGTCTCTAATCGTAAAACAATAACGGTAGGTCCAAGATATTTAAGTATTAGTGCGTCAGTGGCACAGCGGTTAGGACTCTCGCCGACCATGCACATGGTCCGTGGTTCGATCCCCTGTCGACGCACACCCGATATCAAAGGTCGGCCTGGGAAAGTGGGCTGCCAATATCACATGCTGAAAATTCCACACTTGTACCAAAAATACGGTGTGGAATCAAGCTATAATAAAATAATAAATAAATAAAAATTAAGTCAGACAAATAAGTGTTGCATACGATGGTATAGCTTTTGATTTTCCAACCAACCGCTCTCAAAGAAATGTAGTCAAGAAAGTGGCAAATGAACTCAACAGGTGTAATGCTTCTACACTTCTGCTTAGGATTTTGTTTCCAGGCAGCGAGGTGTTCATTCATATAAAATATTACCACACCCGTGTTTATCAGACGTTGTTCCGTTACTTTTCTTTTCTCTGTTTGTATATACTTTGCCAAAGTACAAAGACCTGAACTGTCACACAATTGTGCAAATATCTACATTGATATTCCCTCAGTAAATGTTATAATAATGAGTGGTGTAGTATTCTTATTGCTTCTTGCCGTCACCTTATTAAAAGCTTCTCTATGATCTCACAATTTTGTTGATAAATGCTTTTTGGCTCTGGGCAGAGTGCAAAATCCTTTGTGATACTTAAAGAAGCGACAAACGATGTTGATTTCCAATCCCACTTTGTTCAAACTAATGATAAGATGGTGACTTGGAATAAATGTTTACTTTAAACATGTTTCTATGATATTCGTAAGACGTGGTCACAAACAATATTATAGTAAGTGTGCAAAAAAACATTCAATAAAGAATCAGCATGACCCACAATAACAGATGAGCTAAAGAGACACGGGAAGAAATATCCTGAATCTCAAAAAAAATTACATTTAAACATTATACGCAACCTAATTTAGCTTTCAATATTGAGACATCTACAGCTTATTTGTTTAGAGTACACCTGTCATAAATGTCTCGTAAAGCTAGTTTAAGAGGGAGGTTTCACCACGTATACACATCGCTTGCTAAGTGCTGAAAAAACATCAACTATTTTTCTTCTAACTTTTAAAGAAGGACAGACAGGTCGACATAAATTTTAGCAAAGTCATAATTGAAATAATAAGCAAGGTAAAAAAGTAATAAAAGAACAATGTAACGAGAAACTACTAAGGAAATATTAGTGGTGACGTTCAAACTTTCTGTGACACTAAATCCATCTGGGCTATCATGCTTTACTGAGTCATTTACTCCTGGTCCTTTGACCATTCTGTCCAAGTAAACCATATTGTCACGTATGATTCTGGATAATGTTTAAGGATTACATGGATTAGTAGTAAATAAAAAGTGAGCTGTTTTGCATTTCAACCAGTAGTTAAGCAGTTCATGTCTACAAAACTGACATGATACAGAATACACTAAATTGGAAATAAGTTTGAGACAGACAAAAACAAATTACGCCAGATACTCGTCTTTGTGAAGCTCTTATTGTTCATTAAAAAATTCCCTAAGAAAGACACTACCACAGCCTCACACATAACACATAGCAAATGCAATAAATTATTAGCTCAACTTGAAGACTTTGACATACCAAACAACATTGCGTAATGATTTTGGGACTGCTGAAGAGTAGATAGCCAAATCACCATACAAATATGTGCATATATTGATATAGAAAAGAATATTCCCGATCTTTCCGAAATACATCAAAGACATTTGACCCTAAGAAACATATTTATTGCAATTGAACCGAAATTACAAGTTCGTATTTCTCAGTGATTTGAAAGTCTTCTGAATTAATCCTAAAACTGGCACCATCTTTGTGAAATTTGTAAGCTACTAATGCACATACCGTCAGATGTCTCGTCAGTGATGCTCTCACTGTCTTTAAGGTCTTCATTTCGCTAAAATTGAGTTAGTTATGAAAGTGAATTGAACTTGCGAACAAGGTCTGTCCCCTTCAGTTTTTGCAAACCATTGGTTATTGATAGTGCCTCAATCACGAATGTAAATGTTAAAAAACTACAGTTAACTATGTATTAGATTTTACCTTAAGAAACACAGAATAATAATTACACACACAGATATAACCCATCCTGCTTGTTGAAAAGCAGCTGGGAGAGTTAATACACCAGTGCCAACTATAACATTGAACAAAAATATGAAGCCAGTCTACACATGAGCATTCAAGAGGCAGTAACTAACGAGAGAAGAGTAAACACTTTGACCTGAAACTTCACGACTAGTCATTTCCAGTTATTTTTTGCCCCTTCTGACCTTGGGGACTCGTAAGTGTGCATGACCTTGAAAACGCGAATTCATGACTTCGAAGTAGGCTGATTATTTTGTGACCAAATTATACAATTCAGAGAAACAGTGAATTTTAAAAATATTCACCGTAGTTAGACTTTACGCACCGAAGCGGTAGAAACAGGGCAATAACACACTCATATCTCTCCTTCAGCGCGCTGTTTGAAAGGGAGTGCTTTTTTCACGTATTTCACGTTTTTGACAAATCGCTGTTTTGTTGTGTTATTCACTTCAAGAACATTTTAAAAAAATTTAACTTGACTTTTGTCTGTTAAGTTTTGATTTTAACCACCTATATAGTCTTGGCTGTTTCCAGTAGAAGTTCATTATGTCAAAAGTACCACATAAATGTAATAGGGCGGAGTGTTACTTTTTGGTAGATGATGGAATACAGTGTAATAACTGTGAAAAGTGGTATCATAAGATGTGTACTGGATTACGTCCAGCTGCATACAAACGTTGTACTGCTCCAACATCCCACTGGATGTGCAGAATGTGTTGTTCCCCAAAGATGACCTTAATAAGGGAGGCTCACGAACTGCTGTCTAAAGCCATGGAACTTCCTGATGATAGCGTGGCTAGTAAGAGTGACACGGACTGCCCGTCTGAAGATGAAGCAGTAAGTGCCATCATGAATGTTATCACACCGGCGGTTACTATCCCAGTTACCCCGGAAGTAAAACCTACTAGGCGTTCGAAGCGTCTTAGTAAGCGAAAAGGTAACAAAACGGAAGCTGTAAACAGCATCTCAGAACCAGAGAACACCGTAAGCGAAGTTCACCATGAAGGTGGTGCAGACACTGATCTTGATTGTACCATCAAAAACTGCAGCAGCCCTGAGAAGCAACTGCAGGCAGATGATAAATGGGTAACAAAAATAAGCAGTCGGAAGAAATATAGTAATATTGATGGTAGGCAAACGTCTGTCACCTGTAGCCAGGCTGCATCAATAGTGGTGAGAAAGGACGTAGCCACTGCTAAATACGACAAGCTCTCCTTAGACTCTAACATAATTGTTGGAAATTTGGAAGAGTCCAAAGAATCTGATCCCGTGAAAAGGCACGATCACGACCTTAAATTAGTGAGTAGTATTATAAGGAAGATGCTCCCAGCGAATTTCCCTGGAGTATCGATTAAAAAGCTGATTAGAATAGGCAAAAGAGATGATGAATGTTCTAGTCAGCGTAGGTTGCTTAAAGTAGTCTTAGGTTCTCCTGATGAACGGAATCATCTACTGGCTAATGTACACAACCTTGCCGGGTCAGGAATTTCAGCCAGACCTGATTTATCTCTTGAAGACAGACTTAAACGAAAAGAAGTTTTGTCCCAGCTAGAAACAAGACGTAAAAATGGTGAGACTAACCTTAAACTGGTGGGTTTTCAAATAGTCAGGTCTTGGAAACGTATGCTTCCAAGACCTGTGTGGATAAGCCAGACCGCATAGGAAGCCTGAAGGTAGTGTACACTAATATACGTAGTATCGGGAACAAATTTCACGAGCTAGGTGTATTAGTAGAAGACCTTAGCCCAGGTATTGTGGCCATTACTGAAACATGGCTGGTTTCGGGATTAGATGACACACCTGAGCTATGCGGATTTAGTTGCTTGCGCAGCGACAGAGTTAAGGGTCGTAGAGGTGGCGGGGTTGCTCTGTACATCAACAACTCCCTACATGTTCGTTCCGTGAAATCTGAAGCTCATGACAGTGGGACAGGTGAGGTAATTAGCTGTGAAGTAAGCTTTGCAACCGGCACTCTACTCATTGGAGTTCTGTATAGAAGTCCCTATTGTCAGTGTGATGACTTCATTTTAGATCACCTCAAACAATGGAGTAAACACAGTAGCTGTCTTATTCTAGGTGATTTTAATGCACCTCATATAGACTGGGTAGCTGTCACATCTCCAGGATCCGCTGATAAGTTTGACAGCCGGTTACTCTTGACAACCATGGAAAATGCCCTGACACAACATGTCTTAGGTAGTACAAGATTCGGTTCTACCCAAGGATCTTCCTTGCTGGACTTAGTGCTTACTCATGACAACGACGACGTGGATGGTCTAGTTATTCATCCACCTCTAGCAAACAGTGATCATGGGGTGTTAGATTTTAACTTAAGGGCTGGCAATTTAGTCAGTTTTCAACCCAAATCCCGGCCTAGTGTTTGGCATGCTGACATAGTGGCTATAAAGGAGCGTGCTTCAACTGCCGACTGGTCAGTCAACATTGTCTCATCCATTGAAGATGAATGGGATAGATTTAAGAATACACTTGAGAGGGTTACCACTGATCTCATCCCCTGGAGGGTTCCTAAAAGGCCAACAAATCGGCCACCATGGATAAATAGACAAGCTATAACACTCCTGAGACGGAGAAAAAGGTTCTGGAATCTCTTTGTTTCTACTGGGCTACAGCAGTTCCGGCTGAAATACTGTGAAACCAGAAACCAGTGTAAAACTTTGATCCACCAGTCAAGGATAGCTTACGAAACCCAGTTAGTTAAAAGTTCACCAGGCTGCCCAAAAAGACTCTTCTCATATATCAAGAGAAGAACACGTAAGAGTGATGCTATCCCACCTCTTATGCTTGAAGATGACCAGACAAACATGGCTGAGGATAACTTGACTAAGGCTGAGGCTTTGTCCAAGCACTTTAGTCAAGTATTCTCTGATAATATTGATACCAGCTTTGTAAATTTTCCAGAAGGTAACTTGAAAATGGCACCCTTATACATTGGAAAGGATACTGTCCTAAAGTGGCTTCTAAGGCTCAATCCTGGTAAGTCCAGTGGCCCTGATGAACTCCACCCACGTATATTAACAGCATTGGCTGAAAGCATAGCCGAGCCATTGTCGGTAATCTTCAATATGTCTCTGGACCAGTCTAAATGTCCAAGAGACTGGAAAGATGCCATCATTAGTCCGGTCTTCAAAACCGGATCTAGAAACTTAGTTCAGAACTATCGTCCTGTTAGTTTGACCAGTATTGTTGTTAAACTACTAGAAAGAATAATTCGTGATGCTATCATTCAGTTCATTGAAGGGAACAAACTTTTCGCTGTGGAACAGCACGGTTTTAGAGCAGGTCATTCTTGCTTGACCAACCTTCTTTTGGCCAGAGAAAGTTGGGCAAGCTCAGCTGATGCTAATATACCGGTGGATGCCATATTCATAGACCTTAGCAAGGCGTTTGACAGGGTTTCTCATTCAGGTCTTCTAGTAAAGTTAGGTAGTCTGGGAATCAATAAAGTGGTTACCGACTGGATTCAAGACTTTCTAAAGGACAGAAGACAAAGAGTACGAGTTAACGGGGTTTTATCAACATGGGAATCGGTTAAGAGTGGCGTTCCTCAGGGTACAATTCTAGGCCCACTTCTTTTCCTGATTTATGTTAATGAGATTCCATCGGTAGTTAAGTCATCCTGCTTACTGTTTGCTGATGACATCAAGATATGGAGGGCTTTGCACGATGACAGTGATCAACTTGCTTTGCAGGAAGATTTAAACTTGTTAAGTGATTGGTGTAAGCACTGGGCCTTGGAGATTAACTTAAGCAAGAGTGTAGTTATGCATGTATCCCATAGTCACGTGCACAATTACTCAATGAATGGCATTACTCTCCCAGTGGTCACTGAGTACAAGGACTTGGGAGTGGTTGTGCAGCATGACTTGAAAACAGCAACAAACTGTAGAACTGCAGCCACTAAGGGTTTTCGAATGTTATGGGCCATACGCAAGGCTTTTGCGAACTTTGACGCTGATATATTTCGTATATTATATCCGACTTATATCAGACCTCATTTGGAATATGGGATCCAGGCAGCGAGCCCGTGTTTCAAATACGAAATAGACTTATTAGAAAGGGTGCAAAGAGTAGGAACTAAGCTAATAAAGGGTTTCTCAACCCTGTCATATGAGGAGAGGTTAAGTCGACTGGGTTTATTTCCACTGTCATACAGACGACTTAGGGGTGACCTAATACTAGCATACCGTATCCTAAGAAATGATTTTGGAGCTAATTTATCTAAATTATTTCTTCCTTCTAGCACCAACCAATTGCGAGGACATCACCTCAAGGTTCAAAAACCACGGTCGAATCGTCTGCGTCTGGAAATCCGTTTTTCGCATCGAATTGTGAACCATTGGAACTCCCTACCGGAACACGTCGTATCAGCGCCATCCGTTGATTCATTCAAGGCGAGATTGGACCTCCTGTATGCAATAAATCGAAAGGATTAACACAGGCATATAGCCTACTATCCTAAATAAATTGTAAACTGTAATAACATTGAAGGGAGCAATAGCGTCTAAATCAAATTTTGTCTTTACACTCCATTCTTTCCCTAACCTAAACCCAATCTGTTTCGAACAACCGTAATATCTACCTGATTGGGTTAACCTAACTCAGCCTGTCCCCTGCCTTGGCGTGACTTTAATCCACCTCGATCCTAACGAGTCTGCAAAGGCCTAGCAAACTGGCTTTGCAATGATCACTGTGGTAGAACTGAGTTCCGTATGGAAAACTCTAGTGCCACGTTTAGAGGGGTATTAGAGCTTTTTGTCTATAAAGGTCCTTTTCCACAGGAAAGGATCAGTTGTTTCCCAGGCAGCAATGATGCGTTTAACTTCAATGACAAGGCACTAAGCATTCTCGGTGCGTCAATGTCAGGGTGTGAGGGCGCCTCAGTATAGGTGATAATCAACCATATCTCAGTCACCAAACCTGTGAAAAACGGTATCATGGAAATTCGCTGTAGCCAGAAGACAACTCTCCAGAAGTCAGAATACTATTTTACGTATATAATGATCAACTCGATCTCAACGCATGCGGTATTAAAATGTGGATGGTAAGTCAGAGATTTATTGATTGACTAAGTATAAGCCAACACAACACGTTGATTAAACAACAGCTTGACCATGTGGTTTGCAGTTGCTTACCGCAAATCCATTATTACTTCTGAAGGTATTGCTACGGTCTTCTGTCAGAAAGTAAACGTTTAATTCCCAACAGGGAATGTTGCTTCAAACTAA